TGGATATCTTCTCCTGGATTTCTCTGTGGCAAATTAAAAAAAAAACAAAAACAAAAACAAAACAAAAAAAAAACACACCAAACCATTTACCAAAAAGTTAGGATGGTGGTTTGGTTTTTTAAGATGTGTACAGGACAAGTGCACAGTCTCAATTAAGAAATATGCTCAGCACACGAGTCTGTAAGAAGAATAGTAGTGAGAGCTGTGGTGTGTGGGTGCTGTTGGCTTGGCAGTCCTTGATACAGACACTCCTCTCTGCCCTTCCTGTTTGTCTTCCCTCACCTCCAGACCAGGAAAGGTTTGTTAAAGCACTGTCAAGCTTAACTATTTTTTGTATGAAGCACTCTGAGATCCTGAAGGAGAGGGATGAGTGCTAACACTGCACTCCTGTCCTGTTGCACAAACTGTGTTTGGATAACTGTGACGGTTATTAAAATAGCAGCATCCTCAGCTCTTTGGCCTTTTCCATGGCTCACTCTGGAGACTCCAGTGCCATCCCTGGCTCCTGACTGCTCCGTCCAGGGGCAGCCCTTGCAGCAGTAGTTCTGAAGGCAGCCATCAGAGGGGAGCATTGACGTGGCTAAGACTCACCTTCACTGCACTGTTCAATTTATTACAGAAAAAAAGTTTATTGGATTGTCTTGTGCTTCACGTGCTTTCTCTGCCCAGGATCTGTGATGCCTTTGCTAACGAGGACATGGCAAGTGCTCTGAAGGTGGTGGATTTCTCTCACAGTCTGGATTTGAGGTTGCAGCCTCAAGTAAGCTTGTGCAACAGCTTTCCCGTGTCTCAGACCCCTCATGGGCAGCAGCTTCTGGCAGCAAGTTCTCTTCCTTATAAGGTGAGTCTCTGTTTAGCAGGACATTTTAGTTTCTGTGTTTCCTTTACAAAATCTATTTTCTTAAGTTGCAATTTGCAAGTGCTGTGGAAAGCTCTGACCAATAAATACTGAATCTAACATCTGATGGAATCTTTGGCATTAAGTGAAGGGGACTGGCAGCACTATTGAGTGTCTGTGACTACTGTATCTATTTAGAAACCTACTATAAAACCAGAATTTTACTTCTTGAAGTTTTCTTGCTTAACAGTCTCTGGAAGTTTCTGGTGCAAAGACCAATCCAGACGTAAATGTGTGAAAGCACCCAGAGCAGAAAGCTGTAGTGGATTGCAGAAAGTGGCAGGCACTGAACTTTGTGATGTTTCTTCTGTTTACAGGCAGACTTGGTGGGCATTGCAGATATAGTCCATTTGATGCTGTTTGGGGATCATATCCAGGTCTATCAGGAGAATTCCATCTGGAAAATCAGCCAAAACTTACCAAAGTAAGTCTTTTTGCAGAGGAGGCTGCTGGGAAAGAACAGACATCTAACTTCATTTTGCTTACAGTGGTACCATCCTCAGAGCTTAGAACACAGAACTTGGGGCTGTTGCTGCCAAAAAGTGTTAGCTCTGTGGGGACTGGAACTGTGAAGCTGTTGGACTTGTTCACTGGTGGCCTTAGTGCTAAAGAGACAGCTTTAAGCTGAAAATGAACAGTCCAGTGAAGAAGTTTTGCTTTGTCCATCCTTTCAGACCACACTGCCATAGGCTCTCTCTTTGCACCTCACAGGCCAAGCCTGGAGAAGTTACTAAGTGAGTGGGTGGTGAGGGGACAGAAAAGATCCCATGAGCATGTTGCTCTGGGAGTGGATTAGTTTGGTTTGTTCTTCATTCTGCTGTGACACTGAGGCCAGGGGTGTCTGGAACAGCTGCAGAAACAATATACGTGCACAGGAAGGAAAAGAATTTACAATGGTCGTTTAAGATGCAAGTGCAAACATCTTCTTTTTGGAAGCTGCTGTTTATCCTCAGGTATTAATTGCTATTGCTCTCTTTTAGCCACGTGTTTTGGCTGGAGGATTGCTCTGCCTTCCTCTGCTCTTTGTTAGTTCTTAGACTTGTTCATATTCTTAGCCACATCCTGCAGCATTCTCTGCCTTGGCACTTCATAAGGATTTTCCAGAGCTCTCCCCCCATGACAGCCGTTCCTGTGTTCAGGATCATGGATACTGGTGGCAGTGCCTGTGTGGATACACTTTTGACAGCACTGCTTGAAGGAAAGCTTGTGCCAGTGTGGAGCTGTCCAGTTCCCTAGCAACCTGCACTGCTCACACCTCCCAGCTGGTTGTGTTCAAGCCTTTGGGGAAAGCCTCATCTGCTGCTGTGTACAGGGGAGGAAATGCCTTTTTTTTTCTTTACTGGGCATATACCTGGTTTTCTACTACTGATTCCTTTTCAATTCTGCAAGAGATTACATTGAGCTACTGCAGATGAGGCCTGAGTTGAGAAGGCTGGAACATGGTTTTGGGGACCTGATCAGGATGTGGGGATGGGGAAAATAGCAATAACTGTCTGGATAATTGGAGCAGGAGGAACAGTAAGTCTGAATTTGGAAGGATAGGGCTGACTGTCATTGGAGTTTGGAGGGGAGGGGTCAACTGGGAAGGAATTGCAGTAAAAGCTGGTGACACTGGATCAAAAAAGTAAGGATTCTGATAAAGGTAGAACTTTGAGGGAGACTTGGGCAGAAGAGGAGTGAGCCCTGGGAAGGGCTAGAGGAGATGAAGGAAGAAGCTGGGCATGAGTTCTGTGGAGCTGGAACCAGGCTGGAATGGCTCATTGCTCACCGGGGTGCATCAGTTCCTAACTTAAGAGTTATAAGGAATTTCTTTTCCATCATGTCTTGTGCTTTGCTTCTGAAAGTGATAGAGACTTAAGGAAAGGTGAATGGGAGGGGTTTTACTGTTATTAAAGAATGGATTTGGGGATGTTTCAGTTCCCAGAGTCTTTTTAGTTTTTCTGGTTTTGCTATATACTATTTTAGGAAACTTCATCTGTGCAAGTTTGTGAGGTAGGATAAAGAAGCTGTGTTTGAAATTTTAGGACTCTTTTTGTTACTCAGAACTCCTTAGACCTCCTTACCAACACTTAATCTCTTCTGCTATGCCTCTTACTCATTGAAGCCCACGGAGAAAATGGCCTCAAGTCTTGCATATTTTTTGCTGGGTTAGGTTCTACATGACTTAATATTTTAGCAAATTTAAGACTAAGTAGTGTAATTGTACAGGCTGGGTTCCTTCTGAGACTCTGGCTGCTGCTGTTTGGTGAGTCACTTATATAAAGCAGAGGCAGATGATTTGTTCCCAAGCCACTGTACCTCCTGGCTCGGGGGAGAAAGTGCTGCAGTAGTCAGTAGCAGTGCAAGACTGAAGAACAAAGGGTTAGTTCTGATATCAGTTTGCTGAGACTTAAATGAGTCACTTAACCTTTTTATTCGTGTTGTGTGGGTACGTCTGGGAGAGAGGGGATTTATTACTGTGAATCGTCTCTGAAATGTTATCGATACAGAACTCTGGCAGATGGAAGGCAGGGAAAAAAACAAAGTAAAACTGGCTGTAAAACACCTTTGAAAAAATCATTTTATTTCTCTTGTAGCTTTCCTTTAATACTGCCCAGTTAACTTAGCTTGCAAGTGGGGAAACAAGATTTACTTCTGCCCCTTCTTGGTGAAAGGAGCTGCCAAGTTTGGTTCAAAACTGTTCTTGGTTACTCCTTGAAATGAGAGGTGCTGTGGCTCAGTGTGAATGGGGATGGTGCTCAGGGGCACCAAAAGACCTAACAGCACAAAAAGTGGGGTTTAGATGTGTGTAGTTCCTACTGGAGAGAGAGCAAGGGGCCCACACATATAAAATGGACCACGCATTCCTAGTGTGCCTCGATGGGAAGGAGTAGTTCGGGGGTGGATCTCCCAGGATGTTAAGTCCTGAATATAAATGCAGACTCTGACAGACGTGTATGTGTTGTGTGTGTACTGTTCCACTGAACACTGCTCTGTTTGTTTTAGGACTGTTGACAGCAATTTCTGGAGTAAACTTTTTGGGACAATTCTGAATGCAGATGGTAAGTCCACAGTGCCTCTGCTGCGGGAGTTGAGAGAGGAAATCGGTGGCATGTTTGACAGCTCTTTCCAAGAACGACTTAGTGAGTCCTTAGCTGCCCTAGGAGTAACCTTCCTCCTCTAGAACTTCCTGTGACTTCATGGAGGACAAACACACTTTGTATTATAGAGAAGAATTTGTTGCTGATTTCTTATTTATTTTTTTCCGATGTAAGCGTGACAGTGACAGCAGCTGTGTCTGCAGTGCTTCACGTGGGACTTGCTAAAGGATGTTTCTGTTGCATCAGTGCCCAGATCACTTAAGAGCCTTAGGAGGTTAACCTGTGTCTGGCAGTTTGCCAGAGAAAATTGTTTGCCCTGAGTGTCCCCTGCCCTTGTACAGCTCCTTCAAGATGTGTTTCATACCTGCTTCCCGTGTGCCCTTTGGAACACCTTTGTGCTGCCTTCAGTCGGTCCTTCACTCAGTTAGTGTTTGATCAATAAAGTTGTCCTTTGATAGCAACTCAGTCACATTAAACACCGCTGTCAGATGGTTTTGAAAGACTTGGTTTAGTGGTGGAGTGCTGTTTGCTGGGAATTGTTTGTGGCTGCTGGATATAAGAGGCCCTCGTTTGGTGGCTCATAACCACGTGGCATTTCCTGGACACTGGAACACAACCTGAATTGTTCTACTTGGAATATGCTCTCATGGGTGGCTCTCATAAGAAAAAGGAGATGAAGGCATGAGTGGAAAGGCCATAGACTTAATTTTGGCTTCTTAAGGCAAGTGTTTTGTTTACTTTTGCAAGGGCTGCAGTTCCTGATTGGATTTGGGCATCCTGCAGAAATCTCCCTGAAGTCTTAATTTGCCATAAGTGAAGTGTTTGCAGGTTTTTGTGGGAGGTTTTGGGGATAGATATTTGTGTTAACCTTTTATACATTGTATTACTGAAACCAATACGAAGGCTTCATTTTATTCAAGGCAACAGAATTTACAGGATCCAAACCCAAGGCACTATGTACTTTAAATGTAGAGAAACTCCTGAGAATTGGGATTTACTTCCTCGCAGCTTCTGCCAGCACATGACTGCATCCCCAGGACTTTTATCTCCCTGGAAAGCCAAACTGGCTGGGTACTTCCATTTTGTTCAGTTGCCCGGCTGTGGTTCTGTTGATTCTCCTGTTTGTGTTGTCTCCAAACTCTGCTCTGGAGCTTAATTCTGTTTTTCTTCCATGTCTACAAGCCACCTTGTTTCCTATTTTTTCTGCATATTCCAGCACTACTCCTCTTGCTTTGGCCTGTGTTCTTTTTCCTCTCCCAGCTTCCTAATGCCTTTTTTATATGTTCTTGTAATCCAGGAATGGGACCTTAAATGCTCTGATAGACCAGCTTTAATATCTAATGTAAACTGCTGCAGAAAAATTTATTTTGGTCCATGAATGCCTTAAATAATGCTTCATGTAGTACAAGTCATTGATAAGTCATGTGCTGAGCAAGCAGATAAATAATGATTTATCTCCAGCCAGACTTTAGAGCCAAGATCATTGGTAGAGCAACTAGGAGTGCAATGCGTAGCTAAGTTCTGCTAGCTCTAAAAAAATTGCATGTTTGTTCTTCAGTTGAAATTTATTTTCTTTTGCTGATCCTCTAACTTTTGCCTTTTAGACAAAATCTGGGGGTCTCACTTGTTCCTGTTTGAGTTTATCCCGTGCAGCACAGGTCTGAAAACCAGGTAGCTTAGGAAGAGAACGTTGCTAACAAAGTACCGCTCAGACTTCTTGGGCAAGACTTGTTTGCAGCCAGTACAGAACAACTTCACCATGTCTAATTCAGACAGGAAGCTTTTGAGAACAGCCTGAACACACAGATAAGAGCTCTCAGCACAAGTTCAGCAAAGGTCTTTAAAATCTGTAAGTGAACCTGTTTGTTGTTTATAAGGAGATCTATTTCTGCTGCAATCCTCCACTATGACTTTGATGCTGCCTTGGCACCTGTTTTCTTTCTGAACAAATGTGTACTAAATCCTTCTCTGTGTAATAAGCCTGCCCCTGATCAGTCACTCTTCATGTGTGTCCCGCACAAAACTGCCCCCAAGTACTGCAAAGCAAACACAGCAGTGGCATTATAACCTGGCCACAATAAACACACACAAATAGCAGAGGAAGGAGCAGGGATAACAAAGAGCAGTCACCTCTTGTGCTGGCTGTTCCAAGTTCTACTGCAGTGAAACTCCACCTGTCCCACACAGGTAAGGCTCTGCTCCCCCAGCCCACAAACTCATTGCACCAACATGTACCTGGAGGGCAGGGAGGTCTTCTTTTGACCTCCCTGTTGTATGTTCAAATAACTCTGCCTCCAACCTGCAAAGCTTTTCCTAAGCATCACTTCTGAGTCACTGTGTAACAGAGATGCTCTCACAGGCTGGAGCTGTCACAGACTCATCACTAAACAGGAGATTGCCCACAAGTTATTTGCAGATGAACGTTGTCTTAGCAGTGTCCAAGGAAAAGAGGCACCGACAGACCCTGGGATGACAGGAAGGGCCACAAGGGGTGTCTGGCAGGGTGAAATGTGTGAAGGGTGTAAAAGTCCTAGTCAGGTTATCACAAAACAGTATGGTGATGGGATCTGAGCTCTTGAGAGTTTTATTACACTGTTAAATAAATAAAAGTGCACCAAGGAATGTAAACCCAAGGAAGTAATGGATCATGGTTGTTCCAGGTTGTTTGAGAATAAAACTTGACCAGAGATACAACAGTGATGTCTGGAAGATCTCTGCAGACTTGAACTGCTTTGATTCAGAAGCAGTGACAGAATCAAGCTGTTAATGTCCACTCTGTTGTGTTAAGTGGAAATAATGGCAGGAAGTCACTAAGCCCCAAAAATATGCTACCTATAAAAATGGAGGCTGATCAAATGTGGCTGGAGCTGTGGGTGGGGCAAACCCCACTGGTGTGAGCCATTGTCTGCCCTTAAGCTCTTGCAGCTGGGATTGCAGAATTGGCTCCCCTGTCTCCAGGGCTCCTGGAGATCAGTGCCCACACACAGGTGCTCCTGGCGACCCCTGAGTGTCAGGGAGTGCAACCACCAATGGTGGGGCAGAACCTAACAGCTTTCCAAGGTACACCTGCACGTGGTTAAATATACTGTGAGCCCACACCCACTTTATCCCTGAAGAGATCGTTGTAAGGAAGCCCAAGGAAGCCTGAGGAGCACTCATCATCTGCTGGTCTCAAAAGGTATGTGATTTTTAGATGTAAAATCCTAAATCTGAGGTAATTGATAAAATGCCTCAGGTGTATTTTGTGCAGTTATCTGAGACTTTTCCAGCCTGGGGCCTGTGTTACACAGATTAGGAGGTGTAAGCTTGGGCTTGTGCTAGCAGGTAACACTTGGCTTTTTGTTCTTCCAGAATGAACTGGAAGGGGTAGGAAACTCAGCAGGGCTACCACGATCTCTTGTGGTCATGCAGGGAGAAAACTAGAAGGGCCAAAGCCCAACTAAAACTTACCCTGGGTACTGCTGTAAAAGCATAAAACCAACAGGACAAACAACAAAAGGAGGGCTAAGAAGAATCTATAAAGGGTGTTGGGGCACCCCCAGGAAGAAGTGGTTGAGTCACTATTTCTGGAAGGATTTAAAGTTTATCTAGAGGTGGCACTTGGGGATGTGGTTTGGCGGTGGCCTTGGCAGTGCTGGTTGGGCTCTTAGTGGTCTTTTCCAGCCTTAGTGATTCTGTTATTCAAAGTAGACAAATCATCCCACCTGCATGTGTATCAGCAAGTAATTCTAAACTTTTCCTCTGCGCTGCTGCTGATTTCCCACTTAATAAATATTCCAAATGACCTGGGGCTGAAGTGCAGCTCCTGAGGTGCTGTGCTCCAGGCTGTGCCCCGTGATTTCCCCAGAGGAAATCTGCTGTGTACAGAAGATGAGAGTCCTTATTCCAAGAGAGTTATTTGGCTGTGGGCTGCAGAACTGCCGGCTGGAGCCTCTGCTTTAGCCTGGGGCTATGGGCACTGCATTTACATTAACTGTGCTTACACAGACTGCCCTTAGAGCTGGGTAAAGGAACACTTCACCAGCTTCATTCTCTTGGTTCTCACTGTTTTACACTCACTGCCCCTCTGCTTGCTTAATTCAGCAGAATGCCAGGGTTGGAAACTTAGAAATACAGAGGTTTCTTTTCCATAACATTTTAAAATATTAAACAACATGTGGATATTGAGGTCACTAAGTAAGACTGGGGAAATATGTTGGTTCCTTTTGTTCGTTCTAGAAATGGTTGTTCCCTACTCTCCTTTTGCAGTAATTACCATCCAGACCTATTTAATTATTGATCCTGTGGCTCCAGCTGGTGTGGCAGTGTGATTTACAAAGCAGGAGCAGCAGCTGAGTGACAAAAAGGCAAATGTTAGTGTTCAGTTCTGGGCCTGAGCTGCTGGTTGTTTTCCCAGTGCTTTGGATTCTCTTCAGTTTTCAGGATCTCAAGCTGTGAGGTTCCTTGAAGCTAAACTAGTCATGTACTTCAGTGTAGTGTGGTACTCTGTAATTATTCACCCAGGAATCCTTTTGTAGGGAAAAAAAGTTGGAATAGTGTAAAACAGTGGTGAATGGGGCTTGTTGGTGTGTTTCCTTAGTATCCAGTCAAATGGCACTGGGTCATCAGTAACAGCACAGAGTTGTTCTGCTCCATCTGCAGCTGCTCCTGAAGAGCCAGCCTGGGTTGGTGCTTCATCTGGGTGTGAACTGAGCTGGCTGCAACTTGTCCTGTCCTGAGCCTGTTCCCTTGGTGCCAGCCCAGTCCTGCTGATGCCCTTTGACAAGACAATGGCAGGGGCCACCCCTTGTTTCAGTGGCACATCCCCTGCTCCTGCTGTTTGTAGGGGAACTAGGGACAACTTTACTGGAGCCACAGTCTTTTATCTTAGAAACTGGCTTACATCCTGTCTAAAAGCAGCAGGTCTTTATCAAGATGTAGAACAAGTGTCAGCTGGGAGAGTCCTGACTAGCCTGAACCAGAAACCTTGCTCTCAGCTGTGAAGGCAGTCTCTGATTTGCTGAACGTGGACAATGTGTAACAGGATGCATCCTGTTTGGATGCAATTAGAAAAATTATTCTTCCTCCTTATGTCCTGGAAAAGCATGTTTTTCACTTTGGATTTGGACAACAATGGAAAACTCTCTATGATCCTTTTCTCAGCTCTTTGAACAGATAATTCCCACACAGCTGAACATGGAAGACACTTCACTGCATCCCTGAGCATTCCTTTCTGCTCTACATGTGCTCCATGCACCAAGTCCAACATGGTGTTTGCCTTCCTATCAGCTGAGCTGATGAGGTTTTTATCCAAGTCAGCAGTACATGTCCACCCATCAAGATTATTCTCAATTACAAGCTTAAGTTTCTGTGGGCTTTCACTGTATGGCACGTTCTTCACTGTCTTAAACTTCATTGTGTTTCCACGGTGATCTTTCCTGATGTGTCCCCAGCCTTTCCTCCAGGATGCTCAGCAGTGTGGGTGGAGTGGGAAAGGCAGAACAGCTGCTGTGTGAGGAGGAACACTGGTGCATTGGATGATGGAAAAGAGTTAGTTTGTCTAATAAGTACACACTGGGCCTCTTGAAATGGGAGACAGCAAGTTAGGAAATGCTGTTTGGGTAGTTGGCCTGGTTGAGGAGAGATGAGAGCCCTGCTTCTCGTGACTGTTCTGCCATGTCATTACAGTAGAAGCCAACCTGTTGGGTGCTGAGCTGTGGATGCTCTGGCAGAGCCCTTGTAATGCTTTTGTAGTTTTGTTCAACTTGTCTTACTGAGACAAAGAGAGTTCCAGACTGAGGACACACCTTCTGCCCACTGCTCCTGGCTCTGCATGGGAGACTGGACAGATCATGGAAGTTTGGGGTTTGGTCATGTATAAAACTGCTATTATACTTTTATGTATGTTTTCTTAGCTACATATGTGTATCAATAAATTTTTCTCTTCTGTGGAGGGGAAATGGCTCATAAAACCAAGGTAACACTACACTAAGTTGCTACTTTTCCTCACTTGCAGTTCTCCTCTCTTCTGTGTTTTGCAGTTTTCCTGAGTGCTAAGTGTTTCCTTCCCCGATGGTTGTGTTGATGTGCAGTGGCACCCCCACAGCCAAGGCAGCCAGTCCCAGGAGCTGCACTCTGCCCCTCCACATGTGCTGTGATCCCAGCAGTTAGTGCAGAGCTCCCACAAGTGTATCTCAGTGATGCTGCAGTTTTTTGGGGGTAGAAGTTTTGCTCTCAAAAGCAGTGAGGAGCTGGAAAGCTGAATCCAGCTCTTCTGAATGAAGTCCCAAAGCTGGCAGCATTCAGTAGTTTCAGAAAATTAATTTCTGAGACTTGTTGACAGAAACATCAGGAATGGATCTGCTGCCTTTGTCTCCACCCACCCCAGCCAAGAGTGGGGGGAGAGAAGCAGCTCTTTATAAATAGCTCCATTTCTGTTGTATTTGTAAATTCGGTGCTTTTTGTGTCAGTGACATCACCCTCTTCTCCATGGCAACCCCCTCCGCTGGCAAAACTGCAGGGCACTGCCAGAGGAACTCAAACCAGCACATGAACAGGTTGAATCGAGATGATTTAATTGAGAAATAGTGCAGGGGCAACAGGAGGGGATGGGAAACAGCAGCAAGGGGGTTACTGCCAGCTCTGCTGCTGCAGAGAACTGTACCCTGTCATGGCTGTTCCCAAAACTCTGCCCCATCTCCTCTCTGTGCATGTCCCTGTGGGGAGGAGGTGGGTGGAAGGCAGGCAGGCATCTTATTCCCCATCTCCCATGTGTCTGGAGAGCAGCACTACAGGTGACTAAGCAGGAGGAGCATGGCTGACTCACTCCTGAGTTATTTTCTCACTCCTGTTCTCTTCCCCCTCCCATCTTTTCTGTTTGTTTTTTAGCTTTCACCCGACAGTTTGTATTTTTCCCCAGGCCCTGATGTGAAAGAATTAGCAGCAGGCCTCCTTGTTACCTAATGTTCACAAAAATGTGCTTGTGGTTATCCACGGGGGAAATGGAAGCCAACTCTAAAAGAGAGAAAAAAGAATTCTCTCGGATAAAACACCCTCATCTTAAACAAGAAAAAAGCATCTCCTTGCTGAATGTTGTTCAGGAAGTACTGAAGTAACTGACATGCCAGAAAGCTGTAAATAACTGGCTTCTTTATCAAGATACGGGTGGAAAATACCTTACTGCCTCACTGGCTGCCCTGCTGGTCTTGACTTGATTTCTGAAGCAGCTGCAGTGGGGGAAGCCATTGCCCTTGCTGCCTTGATTCCAGCATTGGGTTCTGCTGCCTTGCACTTGGGGCTGAGGAGCAGGAACAGAGTGGTTCCAGCTGCTTCAATCAGCCTAATAAATCTGTCCTCACTGACATCCCTATGAAGTCTGAAGCCTTAGCACAGTTCCCCTTCCTTCTGCAGGGTGTCAGGAGATCTGGTGCTGAAATTTAGCCTTGCAGAGGTATCAACCTTGTATTAGAGTTGGTGTTCTTGTGACACATGCTGGTCTTGTGTGACTTGCCCAGCGCTCCCAGAGAGGGGCATGGCAACACTCCCCACACTGGGAAGGAGCTCTTGGATGGGGTAGCACTGCACCTGCCACTCGTGGCCTGCTGTTTGTAGGGCCCAGGAGCCTTGAACCACAGACTCTCTGAGCATGAGGTTGTTCCTGCAGCTCCCCCCCCCCATGGCAGGGTGAAGCCAAGGCTGGGATTTCCAGGCTTGGTTGAGGGGGGAAACGCACGGAGTCTTTATCACCGGAATCTCGATGAGTATGTTGCCCTTGCCTTTTGTGCAAAATGCCGCTCGAGGCACTGTGCCATCCTCTCTGCTGAGCTCACAGCATCACCCACGACAAGAAAGGTCCCAGAAAACATTGACTCACTGCGTGCCAGCATCCTGCCAGGGGATGTGTCTGCAGTGAGATCTCCTCAGCTGGAGGGAGGCTTTCATGGCACTGCTCACTGTGAGGCTGTTCTGCCTTCCCTGTGCTGCTGCCACCACCAGGGCTGGGGGCACCGGGGGCACTGCCAGTGCCGGGCAGGCTGGAGCTGCAGCGGGGGCTTTGCATGTGCAGGAGCAGCTTTCGGGAGAAGCTTTCAGATGAAATTGCTGAGGATTTGTGCCTGAAGCAAGGGATGTTTCCCGTGTTTAAGACAAGCAGCAACCTGCAGTTAGAAGGAAGAAGGGGCTGAATTCACTCCAGAAGTATTTCTCCAGGATCTTCTTTTCAAGGTAAGCTTACTCCTGTGGGAGGTAGATGGGGCAACAGGGTCCAGCGTTCTGAACTCTAAAACTAAGGTGATTTCTACATTTTTGTTACCTTCCCAAGCTGGAGAACTGAGAAAAATGTCTCTGTCACTCCCTTTCTAGGCTGAAAATTTAAATCAGTCAGTAAGTACTCATTTTCTGAGGTCTAAGAAAGGGGTGAGGGAGAATGTTTTTAACATTGCCTTGTGCCTGCCTATGTTCTCGTGGTGAATATATGCCTGACTGTGCCTCTAAACCATATATTTAAATAGCAGAATAATGGGTGTTGTACAACAGCAGGTGAATGAAAGTGAAATTTAGTAAATAGACATTAGCTTATGGCTTATTACTTTCAGTTAGTGGTTTAAAACATTTATAGATTATTTGTTGTCCTATAGGAGGCAAAATGATGGTTCCTGCCTTGGGAACTTGAACTGGAGGGTTTTTAATTGGCAGGGTTTCAAGAAACGTTGGTGAAAGCCAGAGAAAGGAGATAGGAAAGGTTTTCTAAGCATCTATTTGAATGACACCTGAACAACCAGTTTATTGCTGTTGAAAACTATTTGTGGAGAGACCAGAGGAGAGGTCCTTGTCCCAGCTGCAGGAAAAACCTTATTTAAGGTAGGAAAAAAATACCTTGAAACATACAGAGATGGCTCTGAAAAATACTTGGTAACATCTATAAAATACGTGGTGTATCTCCTCCTGCCCAGTATAAACCATAACCTGAAACTCCTCCTAGCTGGGAACCCTCCAGACTGAGAGTTGTGTGCTTAGGTTGTGGGGGATAAATTCTGGTCCTTGATGAAAGTCCAGCAGAGGTGCCGGAGCCTTGGAGGAATGCACTTGCTGAGCCTGGAAGTGCGAGGCAGAGTGTCCACATGTTCCCTTTGCACACTAATGGATCTGATGCTTGGATGCAGTTCTATTTTGCTCGTGGAAAAGGAATAGTATGTGTGCCCATAAAAACTAATCCACCTTCTGTTTTGGGAAGTAACTGTAGTCTGTAAACTCTTGGAAAAAGCCTTGTCGAGTCTGTGAGGAGTGAAATGAAAATGCTCTGGCTGCTGCCTCTCCCTTTCCTCAGGCTGGGGGGGACTGGAGCAGTGCCTGAAGGGAGATGTGTGCTCTGGAGGGCTGAGGCTGCCTGGGAAGGGCACCTGTGCCGTGTGGAGCCGAGGGCCGTGCCAGGAGGGGCTGTGCCCACAGCCATTGCGGAACCTGGGGCTGGCTCCGCTGCCGGTGCTGGGGCAGCCAACGCGCTTGGAGGCTGTGCTGTGCTTGGATTCCACCCAGTGGAAATAGCTGAGGCTGCTCCTGCCAACTTCCCAGGCAGGAGTCATCAGTTCTGCCTCTGTCACTTGGGGAGCATGAATGAATGACTCTTGAAACATTAATGTAGAGCAGCTTCCAAGAATGCTGTGTGCTGAAATCTGGAATACACCGGGATCTGATTCGTGATCCAAGGCCAGCAAAGGCTTTGAAGAAGTGTTTACCCAGTGAGTGGACACGCTGCACTTCAAACTGCCCAAGGAAACCACAACATCAGAGGGCAGGGGAAGTGTGAGCAAAGCCCCAGAGGAGCACAGGAACCCGAGAGGGACAGTAGGAGCAACATACCATGGGCACTGCAGCAAGGGGATCTGGGGGGCTATGGGAGATGCTGTTGCTCTTGGCAGTGTCACTTGACATCATTTTAGATTGGAATTCTGCATAACCAGTGTTCAGCGCCAAATCTTGCATGGGATGGCTCTTTACATGGGTAAAACCTTGTGTTTTGGCTGATAGGATTTCAAGGGAGAGGGGGGCTTTCTGCAGCTCCAGAGAGGGATCAACAGAAGGAAACAAGTGATGCTGCTGAATAATGCAAAGTAGAGCAAGCTAGATAAAGGTGATCCTAATTGAGGAGGAGAGTTGGTATTTAATTAAAACTACTCCTAAAACCCAGGCTCTTAGCAGTAAAATAAATAATAGCAGGACATGAGTAATTCCTCTTGGGGGAATGTCAGAGACAAAATTACCCTAATGTAATAATGAGGGGCCTGTGTGCAATTGCTCAGAGGAATAGGAACAGGCTAGAAGGATTTTTCACTGCTAAGAAGTTCAAATGTGGTTCAAGTCAAAAGGGACTGAAGCCTGTTACAGCACAAGCTGCTTGGGGCTCTTGGGCCGCCTCCGAAGGCTGGGCTGGCTGAGCTCCTGAGCTGGACTTGGCCATCCCAGCACAGAGCTGAGGTCAAGCTCCTTCTCTGCTGTAGCAAGTGATGACAAGTTCAATGTGGCACTTGCAGTCCTGCTGCTCAGTCAGGGTGTTCACAGTGAATTAAAAATAGGTACTTCAGGCCAGACTTGGAACAACTGAGCCATGTGTCATGCATGTGGAGGCAAGAAAGGACATTAAACCATCTTGCTCTTCCTTATTTCCCTCCCACTCCTCATTTCTAGTTGTGAAATCATCTCAGAGCTCTGTCTGCATTCCTCAAGCTGTGATGCCCGTTTTGATGAGGTGGTTAAATAGCATAAACTTATTAACCACTCCTGACTAATAGCCAGTGACATAACAGCATTTCTTCTCCACAACTGGCTTGCATAATGCTGCATTTCAGTTTAGGTTGCCTTTCCATGTCATGCTCTCATTTCTGTGATGTCCATCTGTTTACCAGACATGGTTTTGGTGGTGATGGTGGGAAATAGTCCCCGAATGCAAAAAGAACAAGCCCCACAGGTGAGGCCAGATGGGGCTTGGAGCAGCCTGGTCCTGAGCAGTGAGTGCAGTCCCAGCTGAGGCCCTGCAGCAGCATCCCCTGCCAGGGCCCATGTCCTGCTGCTCTGGTGTGGCGAGGTGAAACACCACGTGAGGGAAAGATGGCTTAGTTGTTAAAATGAAACGTGTAATTTTAAACTAGATAGCAAATGTACCCAGCAGCTTCAGACAGTGACTGTGAACGGATCATGTCAACTTGATGTCTCTGAGCTTGATCGGTTTTCCCCAGAGAACGGGTTCAGTTGGGCTGTCTGTGGTGTCAGGGCTACCTCAGTGATGCCCTTCTGGCCTTCTGACTCTCCTTTCTGCCACATATTCTAGATACCTTTTTTCCCCCAAAATGTGTCAGCCTTGGAGTTTTCTTTCAAATCTGTGACTTCTCAAGGCACAGCAGGAGCTGAGGGTCTTCACAGCAGAGCTGGAGAGCTGGGCTTATTAGATGGGGAAAAGAGGTATGAAAGTTTTTCCTTAATCTGAACCAGAGGAGTTAATTTGTGTGGTGGCCAGGAGGCTCTGCACAGATCTTAAAATAACCAAGAACAGGATAATTTGGCTTAAAAAACCATCTGGGTCTTGATTCAGTGCTCATTAAAATTCATAGTAGCCTTATGACTGGCTTGTGGAAGAATTAAGCAGGGTGTTACACTTCATAATGAGTACTTTGGGCCCTGGCCAAGAGAGTACATCACTGCCTATAACAATGCTAGAAATTAACTTCTTTCCTGTAACGTACAGCTCAGAATCAGGATCTTGGGAGCACTGATGGAAGTCAGGGAAAAAGCTCTGCTTTCAAGGGATTTTGGATTGCACCCCCAGAACAGCTGTTAGGGCTGACTCTGGGAAGAAGTCTCTGGGGAGTGGCCTCTGAGCTGTTCCTGCTGCAGCAGGCTGTCCACTCTGGGCACTCTCACAGGAAATCTGCAGCAATCAGAGCTTGGAGTGTGCAGGGAGAAGGGGGCAATCAGACTGCAAACCCAGCTGCTGCTCTGCAATATATGGGGCATAAAATGAGACGTGCTGTTTACTTCATTGGAAACCTCAGTGTAATAACCAATGTCACGTGTGGTTCAGGTCTTGTAGCACCTCATCAGCTGTAAGATGCTCCTGTCTGTGACTGCTACTGAAGGAACCCCCTGATTTCTGACCCCTTCTTACAAATAGAGGCTGGTGTTAATAGGCAAGAAAACACCAGTTGTGCCGCTCACTCCCAAACCGGGTGTTTGCCAAGCTCTTTGGGCTCTTGTGTTCTCTTCCAAGTTGTAAATGTGTTCTCCCAGAGCACGTCCCAACAGCGGCTGAGTGACGAGAGCTGAGCCAGGCACTTCCTTAGGGAACAGAGCCTTGTATTGCTGCGGCATCTAAAGGCACCTTTTTGAAAGGGCTCTTGGAACTCAGGGTCACCTCAGTTGTCTGGCTACTCCTGACTGGTGGTCTGGGATCACCGTCAGTGGGATGTGACTGTACCTTCAACAAATGGCAGTCCCAGTCCAAAAAAGGAAATGAAGGAATTTTCCAGATAACTACTCAAGTATTTCTGTAGAAAATCTTTGGGCACAACTCTACCCCAGGCTTTCAGTTTTCATCAAAGTTCTGAAGACCTAAGTAAGAAAATGCTTATTCTGAGCATTAACAAGAATTTGTTTTCAAAGGTCACATGTGCAAATGAACTAAGTTAATACTTCCTGTAAGGTATTTTTTTCTGAATTCATTTACTTGTAAAATTTATTTGGCACTTCAGAGAGCACATGAGCAAGAAATGTGTTTTTGAATTAGTAATTTGAGGAATGATGAAGTAGATGATGAACTGAAGTTTTTCCGATATTTTTACAATGCCATCTTCGGAATCTCTAAATGTGCAGAATGGGAAACATTACATTTTATTTACAGCTTAAATGACTATGTCTTATGTCGCTCCTTTCTTCTGGAATTATTATAATTCAGAATGTGGAGATTTCCTTTAATGTTTATATAGCTATAAATAGATATGTCTCAGCAGATTATTTTCTGGTGTCACGTGGAAGAGGATTCCAGTTGAGTTGTTCCACCATGGTTCCCCTCTGCCAGCAGGGCCCAGGCTCATTCCCAAGGAAGGATGTTTGCCCTGCCAGGAGCCAGCAGGTCCATGTGCTCAGGAGGGCTGTGGCTGCGCCCAGTGTGGGGTGCCTGTCCTCTGGAACAGGCACTGCCTGACTTGAGTGCCTGTTTCAGCTCCTTGGTGTGGGATCTGTTAGACTGGGATTGAGGCTGGTATAAATTCCAGCCCGAATGAAGGCTGGAGGAGATTGCTGAAGATAAAGAAAATAAGAGGCTTCTGTAACCACTGTCAGGAAAGACCAAAAATCACTCTTATGGGAGGTAGAAATGAACTTTTCCTCTCTCCTCTGTTGCAGCAGTTAGAGCACCAGACAAGGTTGTCACAGCTACCATTTTTCTATATTATATCAATAAATCTTTAAGTGGGGATTATAACCATTTAATCCTTTCCAACCCCTCCAGAGCACTCACAGCTTGTGGAGCCAAGGGAAACCGAGGGTACAATATTGGGACATGCTGCTTTCAGTGGCAGAACAAGAAGGTCCAGTTCCTGCATGGCAGGTTTGTGGCTGCTGAACTGTAGGCCAGGCTGCTGAGAAAAACAGAGCTTGAAAATAAATAATAGTAATAATAATAACATATTCCCCCCCGGTTTAACCCTTTACCCATCTCCTTCCCAGTGAGAGGAAAGCAAATGCTTGGTCCAGCCTCAGCAGCTGGAGCGGGTTGAAGTAACTTTTGAGCACTCATCCACTGGAAGGGGGTTGAGATGCACTTTTGGATACCCATCCCCATGGCAAGAGTCAACCCTTCCCTTCTTCTCTTCCTCAGATTCTATTCCAATAGCTGCCCTGCCCCTACCAGCCTTCCCCCCAGATAAGATCCCATACCCCACTGTAGGGCAAAGGCCCCTCCTGCCCCCGCTGTCCAGGGGGGCTGCTGCAGGCAGGGCATGTGACACCCGTTCCCTGCCACGGCATTAGCAGTGCAGCTTCCTGATTTTCCTGAGGTGGGCTGAATGCCTTCAGCTGCCTAAGGCTGAGTTGTTCCCTGCCTCCACGAGCAAGTGGGATGGGAAACCTGTGCTGCATGGAGCCACGTGCCTGGATTTTGACAAGCATAAGTTCCAACCCTCCAATTATTCTAAGCTCTTGAGAGTTGGGTTTGAACGTACCCAGAGGTAGAGGGTAATAACAGCACAGGGTGTTAGACTCGTGCTGCCGTTATTTTGTCCACTAGGAATTGCTGGATTCTGGTTAATTCTGGAGCGATAGCTGACTGACCTAGTTACTGGGGACAGAGGCTGGGTCTGTGCTCCTCTGCTGCCAGCCCAGGATTTCAATCTGCATTTCTATAGCATCCTCAAGGATCGCAGCTTGCTTGGAAAAACAACAGATTAAGCCGCCTCTGTTGTGGGGGAGTTGAGCATTGTCACAGTCATTTTACCAGCGTGCAGAATGACTTTCCCAAGGTGACCTGGGAATCTGTAGGCAACGCTGGCTTTCTGCTGGGCTGCTGCCATTGCAGGACTGATCGTCCTGACTTCTGTGGGAAGCAGCCGATGCACCTTTTGTAGAGGGTGGCACAGGCTTGTCTGGTGGAGCATGACGTTAATTCTGTTATAACCAAATGAGTGTGTGCAGTTTTTGCAAGTAAAAGATCTGGAAGAAGTGTGAGGTGGCTGTGATCCAAGCTGTATTGATTTTATCTGCAGGGAATGTCTACCAAGCCACAGGAATTTAACCGGTAGCAAAATAGCCTGTGCTGTGTTCAGGTGATCTTCTTGAGCTTTAGCTTCAACTTCTCACCAGAGTGGGAGTTGAAATTTTTTAAGTCTGCTGTTTTCTTACTCTTTTAAGCTTAACCTGCTTTCCTTAGTTAATGGAGAGGTTGGTCAGGCATTGGAAGGGGCTGGAGGTGTGGAGTCCCCAGCCCTGGAGGTGTGCAAGGAACGACTGGACATGGCACTCAGTGCTCTGGGCTGGGTGACAAGGTGATGCTGGGTCAAAGGTTGGACACCATGATCTTGGAGGTCTTCTCCAACCTTGAGGATTCTGTGATTCTTGCCGCTAGTGTTCTCAGTTTGGCAGAATTTCTGTGCTGGCTGTGCTTTGTTCCACCATTGGATTTGCCTGGCTCAGGAGAACTGGCTGTAGCCCAAGGAGAGCCTGAAGCAGCCAAAATTTCCTTTTTCCATGTGACCCAGGCTGGTTGTGCTTGGAATGTGCATATGGTGAAGAGGGACTCCAAACTCCCCACTGCCCTGGCAGATTTGAGTGCACTCTGGCTAAACCAACTTCCAGCTCTTCAGCTCCGACGCATTTGTGTTTTGTTTGGAACTGGAAAAAAATGCCACCTGGTTTAGACTGTAAACCTTGGAGAGTTTGCAAGCACACGGGGTGCGCTCGTGTGGTGGGAGTGCTGGAAGGGCCTAGTCCTGCTGGGATCTCTGGACACTCCCTGGACGAGGGCAGGAATGCAGAGTGAGCAGGAGGATAACCCCAGGCTGGGCCATGCAGGCAGCTCTCCTGGCACCTCCTGCCCCCTTCTGAACGAGAGCCTCGGGGGGAGGTGGCTGAGCTGCAAGATCTCAGTTAAAGCGAAACTGCCTCTGGATTGCTCCCTCCTTATCTCCAGCCCTGGCTAATGTCATGTGGTGATTATGAGACTCCCAGACTTGATTCCTATCTCCAGCTCCCTCCCACCACTTGGTGCTGATGTGTGAATTTGCAACGCAGCTCTTCTCCTAGTGACCCCTCTGGCCCCATCCTTGGTGTATTTTGTTCACTTTCCTGACCAGCTTACTCTGGATTTGCAGGGCCATGAAAGAGAGGAGGGAAGGAGCTCTTTGTGGAAGAGCATTTGTGCCTCCTGTCGAATCCCTGAGCTCGGTGGAGCGCAGCTGGAAGGTCTGGCTCTGTGGGTGGAATTGCTGTAGTTCTTATTGGGACTTCCTGAATGTATCAGATCTCCTGTTCCTTGGTGTTAGGCTTCTCCTGGAAGCTTTGTTGAATAAAAATAATTTTTCCTTAGCAATTTTGCCATTCCCACAGGCTCCAGACAGAAAGAGATGGTACATGGTAGAGTTGGCCTGGGTGTTTCTGACTTTTTACTTTTGAAGTTTAGAAGTGCCTAGTCTTGCCTTTTGGAGTAGGAAAACATTGAATAGTGTTTTTTTTTCCTCACCAAAGTGTGTTCTGTAGAGATGGAGAGGGATTCAATGGAACCTGTTGCAGCAGTGCAGGACGTGAGGTCCTGGAGCTCTCCCGGCGCAGTGACGTGACTGGGCAGGGTGAGGAGCCAGCTGAGATCAGCACTTGGGATCTGAAACTGGCTTTGCTTTGTGTCTGGGGAGGGGACAGGGAGCACGGAAGGGCCTTTGCTGGCAGATAAATGAGGCAGGCTGCAATGCAAGCCTTTAGTCAGAGTAGCCTGCAGCACAAGTGCTGCCAGGCCTGGAGGACCAGCACAGAGCAGCTGGAGGAGGAGTGGAGTGTGGAGGCCTGTGTTTATAGACATGGACCTGTGTAATTATTTACATTGTCTTGTGCAATTCTCTAGGTAAGAAGGGAGCAGTGGGCAGGCAAGGAGCAGTGAAATGTGTAATAAAGGAACGGTTGCTAAAGGGGAAAATTAGAGGTGTGTCGCTTTTACTGGGAAACTTTTCTTCAAAGTGGGACTACTGGGACCAGAGTTGTGAATAGAAAGACTGGTGAGTGTCCTAATTTTTCATTAAGACTGTAGGTAGCAGAGGTTCACACCGACTCAGGGCTGCCTTGGTTTCATCTAAGCTTGTGTCTTGGTAAGTAAAATCAGGCTCTTCCATTTATAAAGAACTTCTCTTGTTCTAGAGGACTGTCTCAGCACATAACCCAGGAAATAGAATCCTCATGCAAATCTGGAACCAACTCCAAGCCTGGGTGACTCCTTGTAGACTGGAAATGCCATTTGTGGCGTTCCCAACGCCCTGGTGCTGGGGATGACTCCTCTGTGCCTGGCACAGCAGCAAAGCCCTGGTGCACAGATGACAGGGACAGTTTGCACTCCCTATGGTGTTCCCTCCACACCTCCCAGGATCACCTCAGCTTCCTCCCCTCTGATCCTCTGCCGTGGAGTTCCTTCCAGCCTTTTGGGAAAGAATGCTGTCCCCTCGGGGCGGGGGGGGGGGGACACACATTCTTTACTATTCTTTACTATTAACATGAACTTTCATTTTTTTATTACATCTGGGTACAGGGCCTGCCCTGGAGGAAAGACAAGCTAATCCCCAGACAGAAAGGAACCTGGCGAAGTATTTCCTGTATCCTAGGGAGGGAGCAGGCAGGAAACCCGGGTCTGTGTGGCAGGCTGTGGCAGGCAGGGACCTGCAGTGGAACAGCCAAGTGGTGACTGCACGCTCAGGAAGGAGCCTTCCACAGCTTAGCTGGCAGGTCTGCAAATGAGGATTAGGAACCTCAGACCATCAGCTCCACTGCCAGGATTTCCTTTAGGTTCTCTCTATGAACCCCTGGTCTTTACTCCATTGTAGTCCCCTAGAGCTGGTGAATCCTCTGTGACCCTGGTTGTTGTACGAACATTCTGCAGCCTTTTGAGGTGGGATGAGGAGGTAGGAAGGGAAATGGGAATGAGGAAACAAGGCTAAAAGGTCACTGGGCTGGCCCATCTCTGCTGGACAAAAAAAAAAAAAAAAGCCCAAACCAACCCCCTAAAAAGTCATGGGGGTGGATTTTTATCGCTTTTATCTGGGGTCTTTGGACATAAAAGCACCTGAGGGTTAAACCAGGATTGTTAGTGGTTTGGAGAGGCCAAGAATCCTCTTGATTTGCAGTGGAGCAAAAGCAGCTGATGGGATTGCTTGACAGGAACTCTTGACCTCTCCTGAGCTGTAATCCCCAAAGCGTCCTCTGCCTCTTTCACCTGCGCGTCCCACGCTGCTGGTGGTGGAGCTGGTGTCCTGCTGGGCACGAGTCATTCAGGAGAGTATTTCCAGCAGTCAGGAAACCCAGAGGCACGGCACAGGCAGCACAGCGGGATGGGAGGGCGATCCCAGACTCCAGAGCCGGCAGCACTGACTCACTCACGGTAGGACAGGGCAAAAGGAAAAGCACCAGGTCATGTGCTGCTCATCTGCAATGCAAATCAATGGGGTGAATTCTTCTCCAACCAGCCATAGAGCCAGCAATCCGAGCTTTCCTGCCGGGAACGGCAAGGGATTGGTGGCAGGTCCTGAAACACAGGGCGAGATGGCGAGTTCTTTAGGAGCTGTAGCAGCTCCCGGCCCCGAGGCTGTGGAGCCGAGAGGGAAGAGCCGAGGAGCGGAGCTTTAATAACTCACAGTGGAGTGGGGCGGAGGGGATGGGAAAGGATCTCCCAAAGGTTCTTGCCAAAGACCCAGCACACCTCGGTGCCCAGGTGTGACTCTGAGCTCGTTCTCTCTCATCCCCTCTAGGGACCAAGAAAGAAGACAGTGAGGAGAAGGTGAGATGGTCCCAGGAGGCTCTGCTTTCGGCATATGTCGTTTTCTGAGGCTTCTCTGTGCCGAGTGCTTCTGTGTCCCATCTGCTACCACACCCTGAAATCAAACTCGGCAGCTTAGGTGCACCAGGCACTGTACAAACATGTCAGACTTGCCTCCACCCCTTTTTCTACTCCCGCTTTCTCCTGCCGTCTTTCTCTCTCAAGTTTATCGGCGTGTGAGTGGATTCCGGTGGCGGAGCATTCCCACCTCACCTCTGGGCACAGAGCAATGAGGAGTCAGGGGTAAGTGCCCTCCCGCAGATTTGGGGATGGACGTTGACTTGCTTGCTTGCTTTAAAGCCATAACAGCCATCCTAATGGCCGCTGTTGCGTGGGATTTGTGCCCTGTGTTTACAGAGGACTGGGTTTGTCAGTTTGAACTAATGTCTCCACTCCCCAGTGGCTCTGCTGCCTTGGCTTAACCCCTTCCCTTCGGAGCTGAGCCGTGCCAAGGATCGGTGTAACGATCCCACCACGTGTGTCGGCAGTGCCAGCCTAGGGCCAAGGGAGAGCAGAATAGTTCGAGGGGTCATACAGTTTTTTCTCTCAAGGGATGGTTCTGGATGGGAAGAAAAACTGGGAACTGGATTCCTTCGGGAAGGAGTTTACTTCATCTTTGCTCTTACAGCCCAGCAACACTGTCCTCCAATCGGCTTTGCTGCATGACAGTGAGAGAGTTTGCCTCCAGACCCTTCTTACTCCTCTGCCTTGGAATTGTCCACCACCAGCATTGTTGCAGCAGGATTGCCAGTAAGATCTCGTGGTTTTGGCTTCCTGGCGTCTTTGAAGTGGGACAAGGTGTGGGGCTGTGGTGTTGGGGTCCAGTGATTCACCCGACTGACACTCAAGTGGATGGGGTGTGCAGCAGGGAAAATGCCTTGCTGAATTTGAGAAGGGTGATGCTCTTAGAACCTTGGGATGAAGAAGGGGTTAAGAATTGCACTGGATGATGCTCGAGAGAGCAGACAGCATGTCAGGAACACGCAGCTCGTTGCCTTTACGGGAGACAGAGCAACGTCTGCTGTGAAGTCTGTGGTATCTGCGAGGACCCTCAGTGTACCTTACAGAGAGGTCCAGTTAAACCCTCCTGTGTGCACTGCCAACCTCGGGCTGCTGTGCTGGCCAGGATCCTTTCTGCACTCCTGCTGAAACCACGCTGTAGTACTCGTGTGGGGCTGGGTGTGAGTGTTTTGGCTGGCTGGAAGCTGGGTAATCTCCTCCTATTAAAATTGCAATCTACGATTCTATTGGGCATTTGTACTTAATTGTTTTTGTCAGGTGGTAACCAACTGTACAGCCGAGTATTTGCAGTGACAGAAACCAGTCCTGTCCATTAATCTCTGCTTTCTTCTTTGCCAGGACATTAGTGCTTTAATGTATTTGGGGACAGAGCACTGAAAAACAGAAGAGAAACTTGTGGTGAGTGCAAGCTCTTGGGTGAGGCTGGGGGATGTATGTAGAGCAAGAGACATTTGCTGAGTCTTCCTCTGCATTTCTGAGTCCTGTGCTTGGGTAAAACCAGAGTCAGCCCTTACACAGCTGCTGGGGAAGGGAACTGCTGCCTGACTCTCCCTCCAGCCCTGTCCCATTGGAAAGTCTCATTCCTGGAGTGTGAGGAAGCTGGTTATTGATGCTGATATTCCGTGCTGCCTTGGTATGTACGTGGTGTGTGCTGTGGGAGCAATGTTTTTTGTACTCAGTAGCAAAGCTGACCAAACACTGGCCAAGCAGATAGCTGGCTGGATTAGTAACTGTGCTCCCAGATGGAAAGCCTGCTCCTACACAGGTTTTTTTCTGTCTAGATGGGTGTGAGCGTGGATGTACCTGGGGAGGACACTCCGAGTCCTGCTGCTTGCAAAAGTGAGAAACATAACTCTTGTTTGGTCACAAAATGGTTTTCTTTCCCAAGGAGAATGAAATTAATTAAGGAGAATTCCTTAAAAGTTTGGCTGTCCTGCCTCCAATGAAGAAAAAAGAGCTCTTTTTAACCTACTTCCTTAATGTGCTTAGGGAAATTCACAGGGAGAGAAAAGAGCTAAATGCTTGTGCAAATTGCTTTAAAGAAAACTGGTTAAAACAGCTTGGACTAGCTTAGCCCAACTGCAAGTGAAAGCTCAGCCGGGCTCTGAGCTCTGTATTACACAGACTGTGCTGTTGGGGAGTGAGCAGGGGATGGTGCTCAAGTTCCATCCCGTGGGGAGCAGCACAGGAGTCTTGTACCTGGGCAGGACGTGTGTGTGGTACCGACCCAGCCCCTGCCCCAGTCCCCTGCCTTTGAGTTTTGACAGCACAGATTCACTGTAGTGGAGGACACTTGGATGTTTTTAGGGAATTTCTCAATATGGTTTAAAGTTGCAGGATTACCCTGTAGCTTGAGGACTAATGCACTGAGATGGGGTCATTACTGACAGTACTGTTGGTTCTGAGATTGATCTTCCATTTGGCTGCAAAAGAGAGCAAGGAGGATGGAGGGTGCACAAAGACTGAAAGCTGAACTCTATTTCCCTCAGAAATATCTCAGGAAATTACATTTTCCCCAGGGCTGAGCCATTTAACTGGTAGTGTTAGTAAATGGATTATTTTGTAATTAATTGATGAACAGAGTATAGCTGCAGCCAATACCAGTTATTTGTGTTGTGTTCCGAGGGCACCTCAGGTTCTAACCTGGTTTTTACTGAGGCTATGTGAGCACTCATACTCGTGGCAGGTCTGCCCTTTGCAAACAGAGCAGGAGAACCGATATTCCCTGGGAGAAGACTTGTCTGTAACGATTTGTTTCCATCTCGGTGTTGGCAGCAGCGAGCAGGAAGGCACTGAGAGTCAGCCAGGTTGAGGGGTTCAAGCCAGTCTGTCTCCTCTGTGTTTTGGGGCACACTGTGTGGGCTGCAGTTTTCCCATAGTTATGCTGTGGGGATAACACAGGCAAACTGCCTTGCAGGCTGCTGACAGCAATTGAACATATTTGTATCTCACTTTGGGAGAACATGATGAGCATAAACAGGGACTAAGATGGTTTGATGATGTTGGTTGGGATGAAATTTAACTCTTGCATCTCTATATTGGGTGACTGGGACATGGCTGGGGTGTCTCTGCCAGGCCCTGGCTGTGCTGCTGGAGTGAGCATTGTGAGCCAGGACTGAGCACAGTGCCCCTGCCAGGGCAGGGCTGCCTGGGAGAACTCAGCCCTGCTCGGTGTATGACTGTCCCTGCACACAGTAAGATGTGAGCCGTGCCCACGGGCAGCACAGGGCTGCAGTTCCTGCCGTCACCCCTCGTGCCAGGGGCAGCTGGCTCTGCGTGGGTGCGGGCCCGGCGCTGGGCTGGAGCCGCGGTGCCAGGGCCGTGGCGTGGCGTGTTCCCAGGCACAGCCAGCGCCTTGGCTCCTTCCCCTGCCATGTGACCCCGCCTGCCAGATGTGGCCCCTGCGCTTGTCCCAGTGTAACCTCTTGTCTGGCAGAGATGCTGTCGCTCTTCATGCGGATTTCTGGAGACAGAACCTTAAATGTTCTTACTCTAATCTTGGTAGTATTTTTATGCTGATTTTGAATGGATCTGTCACACGAGACAGTGGAAACTGAAGCCCTGAATCCTTCAAGCCCTTTCTTGAAGCTCTTTGGTGTTTTGCATGAACAGCAGAATATAACCACTCGTTTTTAACCCTGATGCATCCTCTGTGGCAAAATAATGTCATTAAATGGCTGTGGAACAAAGCAGCTGCTCTTGGGACAGGGATCAGTGAGGTGTGCAGGTGTGAGGCACTGCGTGGTTTGGTACAGTCAGAGCAGGACACAGCTCACATTAAGTGGGGAAAAAGGGTCATAGTTGGTGTCATAGCTTTGGGCTCAGCCCAGTGACCTGCAGCACACAGCTTTGGGCTCAGCCCAGGGACCTGCAACACGTGTCCTGCTGGCTCTGGGTGGACACGAGTTGCCACTTCCTGTGGTGCTGCAGTGGGGTTTGGTGGCTGTACCCTCTCACACACCAAACCCAGGGGGAAAGGCTGCTCTTACAGTGAAGGCCCTGGACTGCAGCTGAGATTTGGGTGTGGTTTCTGTCTGTGCTGCTGGGCTCTGTCACAGTGTCTGGACCTACATGCTGGTGTGAAGATCAAACCTGTGGTCAGAGTGTGTCTTGGCTGCCGCTGGGGCTGTGCACCTGTGTTTTCTGTGTAGCCAGGGTGTGTTGGGCCTGGGTCTGGCCTTGACAGAAAGTTAAAAAGTGGCCAGGAGACATACCTGGGAGCTCTTTCAGATTTGCTGTTCTAGACATAGCTGGGAAGAAACAAGGCTAGTAATTTTTTTTCTGTCTCGTCTGCAAATGAGGATAATAATTCCTTTTCCTCACCTTTGGTCTGTTTAGATGAAACTTCTGGAGGGTGGGGCCTGACTTCAGAGACTGACTGGCCCGATGGAACAGTGACTTCAGCTGGGATTCCTAGGGGCCTGTAAATAGGGGAAAACTTCATTGTTGTCAAGGGAAAGCCCATTAGCGACTGGGACATGCCAGCACTGGTTTTGCAGAGTTCAAGAGGTCTTTTCTTTGCAAATGCTTTGATAGGTCCCAGAATGAATTTGGTGTAGTATAGCTAAAACACACATATGTCACCCAGCAGCGTCCAAAACAAGCTGAGCAAACAGGCATTCACTGGCTTTTAGGTTCTACCCTAATTTATGAGCAAGGAAATGGAGCAGGGGAGGAAGAGGCAGCACTGCAGCCTTCAGACCCTGCTCAGTGGAGGTATGGCAAAAAATCTCCAACAGTTGAGTTGTTCTTCTCATTTGGCAGGAATAAACCCACCAATGTAACCAATATGTCTCTCCCTAAGCTTATTTCTAATGTAATATTAATCTGTGCTCTCATGTGTGTGTTTGGGCAGGATTTAGAGCATTACATCAGTTTGCTGTGCTGCTGCTTCGCTCTGACACGCAGCTTTGCCATGGGGGGCTGGGGAGGGAGAGGAGTGCAAGGAAAGGACTTGGAACGGGGGAAGGGATGCACAGCAAGTAAATAGCCACTCTCCCTTAGGAGGAAAAAAGTGCCTCAACCAGTATTTCTAAAACTAGAATTGCAGCCAACTGAGAAAGGTGTCGTGGTGTCAGAGCTGTGCTCTCAGATCCCATTTCAGATTTTGGACCATTTTGCTTTCCACTGACCCTTGTTGCCACTCCTTGCTGAGTGAAGTCACATTTGGGTTTGTGAGCTCCTCAGGGACCTAACCTGTCATGTCTGCAAACTGCTGTGAATGTTGATGGCCTGTTATAAATAAAAAGGATGTGGAAAAGCTCAGGAAGGCAACCAGGAGGATTGTAGGTCTGGGCTGCGCTCCCTGTGTGCACCCTCCCACCCCCTCGGTGTGAACACACGTGTGTGCATGTGCCACGCGTGGCTGATGGCCTGGTTAACCTGGAGCCATTCCCAGGGCAGCACATGCCACTGACCTGCGGAGCAGAGCAGGGAAATGGGCTTTTCCTTTTCATTGGCGGGTTCTCTGCGATCTTCATCTTCCCACTGCAAACTCCATCTGCATATTGCAGTTCCTCCGGTCCTGTAGGAAGAGTTCTCCTCCTCTGCCTCTCCTCTCGGAGCTGGCCAGAGCAGTTTGGCGGATGAGCTGCGGGAGGACTTGGAAATGATGGGACTGGCGTTGCTGAGCCCGGGGCCGGAGCGTTCCCTCCGGTCCGGGCGGGAGGAACGTAGGGAGCCGTGTCCAGACCCGCGGTAGCGGCGCGAGGAGCCGAGCAGTGAGTTCGGTGCTGCAGCGGGGAGGGAAGGGAAGGGAAGGCTTATTTGGATCGGGGAGCTGCCCGAGTGAGGCTGAACGAGCTCCGCGCTCTGCTATCATCAAGTGCCTGTGCGAGGGAGAGCCTGCATCCTGAGAGCATGGGGGCTGGCCGGGAGCAAGGGGAGGCAGGTCGGGTGAAGTGCCAGTGCCTGCTGCTGCCTTTGTCTGGGCGTTGGAAGGAGCCATTTCTCATAACATTCAGCTACTTGTTTTTATCAGTGGGGTTGGTTCGTTTCTGTGCCCTGCTCTTCGGCTTGCCTGGCTCCCACCCATTCCTTTCCTTCCCAACTCTCATTCCCTCTCCATCCTTAATCTTCCCACCCCTTCCTCTCATCTGAGCCTGACCCTTCTCTCTTCTTGCCCCTCCTTCCCAGCCGATCCCTCCCCCCTGCTCTGGATCCGCTGGCTGTGGGATTTTTTTCCCGTGCTCACTGGCAGATGTGACAGCTTTGGGAACTGTATCATCCAGGAACAGCTATATCTGGAGTTGAAAAACCTAACGTGGTTTCCCAGGCAGCAGGAATGGATCGCTGAGAGAATTTCAATCTCCGACTGCTTTTGTCTTGTGGTAGTGACTTTTATTATTTATGTTTGTGACATTTCTTACAGTACAGTTGTCAGCACTGAATGAAAGACT